CTTTATCATACCTATCCGTCTACCGTATCCCTAATCGCCCGGTCGGCGGGCTCGGGTGCCGGGAAAATGTGTGCCAACTTACAGTTGGGCACAGTGGGCAATGTACGGTGCGGTAATGGTGCTAGGAACCTGGGGCGGCCCCGCAGGAGGGAAGGGAAAAAACTTCAAACGGAAGTGAAGTGTAAGGTACGATGAGAGGGGTCACTAAGGAGGTGTGTTTCAGGATTGTTATTTTTTTCTTCCTTTTAAAAATCCCTTTTTTTTTTTTTTTGCGCTTTGGGCAGTGGTGGTGGCGGGATGTTTTGGTCTGGTTTGTACTCGTACAGTACAGTTGTTCATTGTGGTACAAGTTGCGATGGATGGGATGGACGGATGAGTGGTGGTGGTGGGATGTTGTGGTGTGGAAGTAACTGCGGTTGGGCTGATTCATGTCGCCTGTAACACTGCCGTATGTACTGTACTCGAGTCCTGTACAAGTACAGTAAACAGTAAACGAGCCTACGCTGTGTCATGACATGAGCTCATCTTGTGGACTTGGGATATCGGGAATGAGATATAGTGCAGTGTTTCTGGTGAAACCTGTTGCTGTCGGGATTCTTTGTCGGTAATGCAGCTCATAAGTTAGATTTCCATGTTGCTGCTGTATGATGTTGTTGAGTGATGAACGCAAAACTACTGATACCTCAAAGGGAGAGTGGCATTTAAAAATCGCCAAATAAAGTATTTGCAACGGGTGAAGCCATTTATTTCTAGACCTGCTGTATTGTAAATGATACAAGTTTCTGTTTATTCCCTATCCTATCGTAGACTATCGCGTCCCCCTTTTAACCTTTTTTTTGGCCTTTAATTTTTTTTCGAATCGCAACCCAACTCAATCTCCGTTTCGTCTATGTAGACTCACAGTGAACAGCCTTCCTCCAAAACCCACCATTAATGTGGACGTTTTTCCATCGCCTCCCTGTTACCCACCCTCCCCCTGCTTTCCTCCTTCCCCTAAAAGTCCCCCTTCGTATTCCACTCCTATTTTTTCTGTTTGTGGTAAAAGCTGTGAGTGAGAGAAGCCGACCGAGAACAAAATAAAAACCGGGTAAGGTGTAGCAGAGGTGGATGAATGGCTTTGTGTTACCCACACACAAGGTATCCATCGTTGTCGTTCGTCGACACACGTGTCGCTCGCTCTCATCGGTCGATGTGCCAACAACCAATAGATACCCCGCGCTGACCCCGCCCCTCCATGACATGCGAATCAAGCAATGTGGGAAGGGAAGGGCAGGCAGAGAAGCGAAAGTGAGAGGCAAAGATGAGAGAAACTGGTGGACAACAAAGTAAGAAAGCTAAACGAAAGTAGAAAAAACAAAACAAAGCATGGCCTATGTCCTTTTGTGCATCCCCCCGCTCTCGCGTATGGATGGTGTAGCCACGGGGGGCGGCTTGCTCGGTGAAGGACCTTCGAACCGCACCGTTATGCTGTGCAATGATGACGGTGATGGTGATGCTAAAAAAAAAAAAGACAGACATAGGGAACTGATCCGAGAACTGGGTATAAGAGGGTGGACGAAAACGAGATAGAGAGTGGGTCCGGGATACATCAATCAATACGATAGCTAGAGATTTTTTTTTTTAAAGAAAAACAGGAAAGAAAAAGAAAGATAGGTCGCTCGCAAAGAAGCGGAACGAAAAACGGAATCAAATCAGAGCAGCCTCCCACTGGTACACCAAACGTGGTGTTGTTGGATATGTCTTCCTAAAAAGAAAATGGAAGACTCGTGAGACAAAAATGCTGTACAATAAAGAAAGAGATAAGAGGGAATCGACAACTATAACTTGTGGCACAAAAGGTAGCAAAGAAGAAAAGCGGGAGAGAGGGGTGGAAAAAAGCATGAAAAATAGCCCGAGGCGGAGGTGTAGGAACTCGGGATAATGCGCAATACGATGGAAGTCTGCAAAGTTAGTCAAGCCCTTTCTATAGGCTGTATTATAACAGAACTGTATGTTTTTCTTAGCTCCTTGGAAGATGGATGAAATCCTCTTGCATCGTGATCTCGCCAATGTCTTCGGAGTCTTGATTATCCCTACGGATGTAATCATATTCACTGAGTGTGTCCGAGTCGACATCGTCACTATCGATCGCCTCTCCGTCACCTTCACTGCTAATGTCACTATCAGAGTCCATGTTGTTGTAGCCGTTACCGGATCCTTGGGCTTTCGCGGCTGCTTGAGCTGCTGCCACTCGCCTCCGCCCGGCCCTCTCAACATGCTGCAGCTTACAAGTCTTATCCGTGCATACCCCCTTCTCATCAAAGTCAGGGCACTCGCGTACGTGTCGTTCTGTACACCCTGCGCCCTTGTCGCAGTACCCCAATGTGGCGAAGGGACGGCAGATGGGAGCAGCTGGGTTAACCTTGACGTGCGCAAAAGGGCACTTATCGTTGGAACAATTGCCACGGAGAAAGTGGACGCATGTAGGCATACAGTGTGGGCTGGGCGTGTGAGAAAGGTCGCAGGAATCCCCCTCCGGGCATGAATTTGCTTGGATAAATCGAGGGCATATGGCGACCTTGTTGGGGTCATGAGCGTAGAGGCATGACATCCCGTTCTTACATTTACCTATGGTAAGTGGTTAGGAGTGCTTTGTTAGTATAACATCTTCAATTTTATCCAATAGAAATAGCATTGCAGGGTAAGAGGGGGGGAGAAGCGGCTTGAGCTCTGCATATCATTGCAATACGCTGCAAGAGCAAGAATGAAATCGATTGGAGGGAATTGGTCGCTACCAGTATTTGAATAGTATTTGCAGGGCTTCTTGATATGGCGAGGTCTGCTAAACTCGCTGTCGGAGACGATGAGGAAGCGTCCCCTGTCAGCCACGCGGATGATAACGTTAGCAAAACAATAGGGCCAGAGCTCGATACTCACTGTGATGCTTTTACTAGTCCAACGCGCCAAAGGTTTCCGTTCTTGCTTCGCACAAAATTAACACCACCAACAACCGCTTTCTTGGGGGTGGATTTTGCATTTTGTGGACCATCTGCTTGCAACATCGAACCTGTTAAACACACTCCTTGTTCCCCATCCAACCCCAGTTTATCTTGTTCCTCACCAGAAATCTTGATCAGTTTGCTACCGGCAGCAGCGACCTTGTACCGCTCACCCTGGACGAGGACTTCAAACGGTGCCTGTGAAGCAGCATCGCGGGACCTGTCCAAGTAACCCCTGAGCTTTTGTTTTTCTCTTTCTTCTTTCCTCATTAATTGGGTCTGGCGAGTCTTCTCAAGATCTCTGGCCCTGGCCTGGGCGTGCTGATCATAGACTGCAGTGTTGATCAACTGCATGTGTCTGTCACGCTTCGCCACCCATCCTTCTGCAGACTGTGTTGTACTGTCATTGCTTTGTGGTAAAACTTGTCCCGGTGGGTTGGGGGGCATATTCTCTACATAGGAAGTTGAAGCAAACGTATTTGTAGTTGGAGTAGCAGCACTCCCATCAGTGGCTTTATTGTTATTGATCACCAAAGTTTTATGATGATGAGTAACAGGGGGGCCGGGCCAAGAAGCCCGACCTCTAGCCCTACGGGCGGCAACTCCCCTAGGGTGGTAATGTTGATGGTGATGCGGAGGAGTCCATCCTCCTCTTCCTCTTAGAGATTCTATCTGGCTCGTTAGCATACGGAGCTATCGTTGTTGATTAAGCCTCCACCAAAGAATATGGAAGTGTCAGCAACTACGGAGTGGTAATAATAAAGCGGTCGCATACGGTTAGTAGGATATGGGGATGCTCGTTGCGGAAAGTGCGATCCCCCATAGGCAGGAGCAGCTAACTGTTCCGTCTGATTCTTGTGTCGATTTATTTTGCCTGATTGTTCAGCTCGTCAGTACATTTCCCAATCGACCAAGAGGCCAAGCGAGGCGGATCAGGGTAATAGTCACTAACCAGCGACTTCGCTGATCTTTAAGAGGAGCGCCTGATTGTCAGACATCAGGGCGATGAGAAAAATCGGTTGTATGATATAGAGCGGTCGGCGTAGCACAAACTTTTGATTGTAAGAAAAATAAGTAGAGCGGGCGGAGAGATGAAAGTAAGGGACGATAAGGAGAAGAAGTGGAGGAGGTGAAAGGGAGGAGAAGGGTGATCTCAGGATGACGGGGGGTTGACAGGGTGGAAGAAGTGGGCAATGGCGGTTGGCTGGCGTTTCGTAACCACCCCGATGGGCGATCGGGTCCTGGCATCTCTTGGCACTCTTGGTCATGTGATGGGGGCTAAGACCTTAACAATTTCGAGTCATGACTCATGATTTTGCCACCGCTGTTCTAGGGATGAAAATAATCTTGCCGTTAGGTCTACCGGTTGGAGCAGGTACGGTAGGTATAATTTCATATTTCGGAGCTCGTCTCTCTCCAGGCACGAAAAAGTACGGTCCTTAAAACATTACAAGGGCTTGAAATGGTAGTAAGGTGGGTATCACATTAAAACAGCCCCGCTCTGCTCCTCCAATCTCAATGCCTTCTAAGCCTGACAGCAGTTATCTCGCACGATTGGCGTCTCATCTACTGTGGTGCCTGGTCCGGCCACAGAGGAGCTGGATAGTTATCTAGACTTTTAGCTTAGCATTTGACGATCCTAGGCCAACTGCTTACAATTTTAGCCTAGGGGGTGCCTGGTTGTGCTGTGCAGTGTGATGGCTTATCCTTGGATCTTCATGAAGTGTATGTACTCGAGTATTCATACTTGTATGTCAATTGCTGCAGCATCCAGGTTTTCCGGTAGCCATCGCCTTTCAGGGGCGAGCGGTATGGGCTGCCAAGTGCGCCTTTTCCGGGGGTCATGGGTGCTGTAGATGTTTTTCCTTTTGATAGGCCTAATAATACGCTACGCTGTATTGCGGAGTGTGTCAACGGTTTCAAATGGCGAGGGTTTTAAAGGAGGGAATTCTCCTCTCTACGCTGACTTGATTTATCGTACTTACAAAATATGATTCTGCTATCCCCATAAGTGGGGAGCAACTATAGAACAAGAAAATACAATAAAACCCCCTTCACCAATTCTCATTTTACCTGTGCTTTCACCCACTTTAGAGCCTCCCTGGAATCAGAATTCAATTCCCAGGTTCCGGCCATGGACCCGTCCTGATGGTATATAGCAATTTCTTTCAGAACCTGCCTCAGGTAACCCTCGGGCTGGAAGAGCTTCTCACGAAACTCCTTCAAGTACCAGTATTCCTTCTCTTCAAAGAGCTTGTAGAGGCTAGAGATTAGGACATCCTTGTTCATGCGGTATGCCTTATCTTTGGGGCCGCGGCCGGAAATGGGCTTCTATACTTTGTTAGATGAAGAAAAGTAAGTGCGATGGGTGGACATGCGGCAGCGGCAGTAAACAGCAATTCCTTCCCTTTTCGATTCGGAAACTCCCCAACGGTGCCCGGCCTGAGGATGTTCATCTGAGCATTCACTGGTGTGATACATCCTAGCTCTTTTTTGGCGACCTCAGGATGTGCGTGAAGGATCGGGGCACCCTCCACCCTGATAGGGGTCGCCAGAAGCTCATCCCCGAATTTGGCGACAAAGGAAGTTTTGTTAACTGCTCGAGAGGCAGTCAGCAAATGAGATCAGCTACCATATGAAAATACCTGCTACTACCTTTAGAAGGACGTCGGAAGGTAGTTTCCTTTGGTTCCCGGGTGCCTTCTGAGCCCCAATGTCCCCTACGGGACCTTTCGATGAAAGCTATTGGCATGGGAGGCCCTTCTCGTTTCTTTGGGACACCCCCCTCCTCCTCTGCCCAACAATACATGTTGCGAGGGCTCCCGCGCGATTCTAATTGGTAATCCTGGGGTATACTTCGACTAGTTTTTAGGCTAGGATTCAACCTGAGCCTCATTTCTTGCTTCTGGTAACACCGCCCATGTCAGGAATCCATTTTAGCTGATCTGGTTGAGGCCGGTGAAACATCCAACTTACATTCTCATGAGATTTTGGAACCTTGATCCTGATAGCGCCGAGCAATAGCTCTTCGTTGTCGTCGGAATCCAAAAGCTCCTTCCAGTGATTAGTTAAATATGGCGGGAGCTTGACCAACCAGGCAGCTTGTTTGCTGCTGCCTGCATCCCCCAGGAATCTGAGTTCAGAGGGATCGGACTCGTATTGGATATCATCGTCTTCCCACTTTCTCTTCGTGGACTTTTGGTCGGAGGATGGAGATGGGAGGTTTGAGTTTCCATGAGTAGAAAATTGTTCCATGCTCCCAGAAAACAGGCTTTAACGTAGGTAAGGTTAATGAGAGGGACAAAAGCGGGGCCCTGGGGAACGATAGTGGATGCGGGACTTGTGTGATCGCGGCGACTGACTTGCTTAGTTCTCAGCGGGTTCGAAGATGTAGAGGAGTGTGCTATCCTGTGTATAGAAGGTGGCCAGCTATGATAACTAAATATATAGGTATCATAGAAAGTCACCACAAGAGGGCAAACCATAGAGGCAGTCCGTCCGTACATGTTAGGGCTACTCATTTCAATAGAATGGTTGAGGGATAGAAAGAGGAACTTGCTCAAACCCCAAACCCTCATTCATATGGTATGTTTGTAGGAGCATCGCGTTCTCAAGCTATGATATAATAATAATAATTATTATTATGATATTCAATTCCTCTAGCCCGAAGTCTGTAGGGCCAATGTTGTTCGACTCCTCTAACCTTATTACTACCCTTCCTTACTACTATTATCACAACCGACTTCTTGCTCATCGTGAATAGAACATCATGCTCTTAGGGCGGAAAGCTTAAAAAGGCTTATTGAATTTCCTGATTGCTCTACAGAGGGTTATGGGGGTATCACAGAATCCTCTCTAGACCATAGATACCTATTACCTATTCGGGGGTGTTATCAGACATTTACATTTCTCTATCTCTTCCCCACCTTTCTCTACTTTCTCTCTCTGGTTATGCACCGCAGTGCGACTTTCAGATGTGTTATTTGGTCATCTGATAGCGGTTACCCCGTCCCCACCCCGACCCCAAGGGAATGGGGGGAGGGAGAAACCCCACCGAGGGGATTAGCTATGATGCATGCTTCGCATATAAGCCACCATTGCGCTTCCTTTCTTGCTAGGAGCTAACCCCCCACTGTCTGTCAAAATCGCGGCAGCCCCGTAGAGGGGGGAGGAACACAAGCAAGCAAGAAAGGAATTTTTTTTCAAAATACTCGAATGAGCAGTGCATGCTACAGTGAGCGGAAGCCCACAGGAGCAAACACCCGGGCTCAAGGTCTCGAGTGGGGCCTTGCTAGTATCCATTACCTGTGATAGAAAGCCAAATCGGGGGATAGTTTGTGCGGAAACGTCTCGGCGTCCCCCCTCGAAGAAGTTCGATATGCAATCATTGGCACCGTGACTAATCAAGTCAAGGCTCCCCCAACACTCTAGTCATGCGGCAAATTTGAGGCTAATAATGTCAAGTATAATATAGTTACAAAATCACTGGTACAAGTGCCAGCCGCACTCTTCTTGGGTACTGAATTCGACACACAAACTACCTATTTTCCCAGTACGGGGTGAATACCACTCCTGATCATAACTTCGCGACCCCCCGGTTCCCAGATGAACTCACTCGGCGGGACAAAGGGGCGTTCTCCGAGACAGTTATATCGCGCTCTCTCACGCCCGAATTAGCTTGCAAGTGCTGGAGGAAGGGTTAGCTGGTGCGACTGTAATATTTTACAAAGGGATGCAATTTGTACCCTTCACCCGTTCCTGGACCCCACACACCTTTGGTACAAAAGAGAGAGATTTCAGTACGAGGGTCCAATGATAATAGGGAAGACCATAGATTTTGACTATCACCTGGACAACAATCCTTTGAAGAGGGTCTGTCATGGTATTAGGGATTTCCAGGTCGCTTTGCAACTTATTCTTTGCAGTACACGGGCTGGCGATGCTGTCCAAGCGCTTGAAAACGTACGGAGGGGTAAGAAGGTAAATTTATTTTGTGGCACCGGCAACGTAGGGCCACGGAGCTGTCACTCGATTTATCCGTTGGGATAAAGTTGGGGAATACCTAATTTACTGCTACCGGACTGTGATGGCAACAGCACCATACAGCACCCGAGTACCGCAACTCTCCTGGCAGGGCTGCGGCGGGGCTGCCTGCGCTCAAGGGGCTGTGATAATTACCAGTAACTTTATCGTCCCGCATTGTACAAGTATCCCGGCTGTTCTCGTGCGTGTGGCACGGGGCCGGGTCCGATCGGGAAAAATAGACTACTAGACTGTGTGCTCGAGTACTCGAGTACTGTATCTTTCGCCAAGCTAAACAACTTGCTGAAATAGATTGCGGGGTGGCACAATGTGCAATTTAACATGTCGGCGTCTGGAAAGATTGGCAACCGACATCAGGAATACCGGTACGATTGAGCAATGAAAGCAAAATATGGATTCCTGCCTCTCCTCTTGGCACAAGCGCTGCCACTTTTCGGGCACCGGGAGATGCCGGTGTGGCACGGCGCCTCCTAAGGCATGAGCGATGGTGCAGCTCACCCATGTATGCCGTTTGTCGAGCACAATGTGTTTGAGGCCGCATACCGCACCCCCGCGGAGGTTCAGAGCGAGGGGGTTGCCCCACCCTCCCCGGAGGCCCTTCTTGCTGGGAACTCTCTCAGTTGGGAGGGGATCCTAGAGGTCGAGGAAAGCCACAGACAACAAAAGGCGCTCAAATGGAGGCCACCGAGGTGGTGTGGTCATGGTTTTTGGCTCAGCGAGCTCTTCTACTCGTACGGTAGCCCGGGCTGACATGGGATCAAGGCGGGTTGGACAGAGCGAGATATCCAGCGTACCGGTTCTCTAATTGATCTGTGGCATACCGGTATTGCGCTGGTGGAGGTAAGAGCCTAGAGCATGGAACGAGACGAGGGACGGGTGAACAGGAAAGAAGAGAGGCGATTCCAACTCCCGGCATGATCGGGAGCGGCACAACATACTCGAGTACAGTACAATATCTACATGTATTCAAGACGTTTCCTAGAGACTTGGAAGAGGCCCCCTTGAGTAAGATCTTGGCAAGCTGCAGGCTGTTTACCGTAATTGATACAAGTAGGGTACGTGTAGTCTACCGGCAGTGGGGTTGCGGTCATAGGTTGGTCCTGAGTTATCGGTACTTGCACCGCTCGGGATTCGACCGTGGGAAGGACAGAGGCTTCCAAGTCTAAACCACTCTCTCCCCTCTCAATCATATGCCATCAAAAGGATCTTTCACTGTCTGGTCTTGCGTCATTGTCTTGATTTCCTAATAATATAAATAATCCGTTCCGCTCCTCTAATCACCCCATCGCCTCGAGATCCTAACCCTCCCACCGACTGCTTCATACCCTCCTCGCTCTTTAGTTACGGAGGTCGACAGTCATTATCCACCAGCTGTCCCGTTAGACGGATTAGAGGTGTCGTTGCTGCTGCCGTTGCCGCGGTGTAGGTCAGGATGTTCGTTGCTCCCTACGCCGTTCCATCTTCTGCGCTTCCTGTGCTTCTTTTCTTTTTCCTCTTGCGGAGTATCATACGGGCATTGGTGGGGCACCTGTATGGTATTTCATGTGAGCTGACATCGGGGTTCGTCCAAGGGCTCGAAGAACAGATAATCCTCTCGCTCTATCCCAGCGATCCAACAATCTTCAATTCTCATGCTCCTCCTATTTTCAGCCTCCGCCTTCTCAGTACCACACCCGCTCCATCTACCTTTTCACGGACCCGAGATCCCTTTGCTCCGAGGCCGGCCGTCCCGTGAAGAAACACCAGCCCAATCCCCCTATCAGTGATGCCCTTTCCCTCGCCTCCCCGGAGTCTGCCGGATCTGCTTCCCCGCAGTATACGCGGAGGGTTGTTTCCTCTTTGATAACGCCGGTTCTGTCACCGAAGCTTCTGAAGCGCACCTCAAAAAAATCGGCCCACCCTCACAAACTTTCCTCTTCTACCTCATCGATACGTAGCGCTACGAGCAGTATCCTTTCTAGAAAACGCAAGTACTACTACGAGCACCCCAAACTCTCCACCCTACCCTCGGAGATTTTGGACGAGATATTCCAGCATCTGGACCAGGATACCCTTCTTGCGCTCACAAAGGTTTCTAGACGCATATCTGACGAAGCGGCGCACACACTGTATGCCTCCCCGTCGTTTGCTTCCACATATCGCTTCGCCCAATTCGTTTCTGTCGTCTCGCAGAACCGGTTCCTAGCCAGGGTGGTGCGAACATTGGATTTATCGAACTTGGGGTCTTGTGCGGAGCCGGACGTTCCCTTGGCGGGATGGAGGGAATGGAAATTTCGCTCTTCCCAGCTTTACACCATCCGCCGGGATGATCTCCGAGACAGGAAGAAATCCGGTCAGCGTGACAGCAGGCTGACCATGCTAAAAACCAGCACTCATCCACTTCCCTCGCCCCTCCTAAACGAGTATTCTACTTCCAGGGATGTTCCCGTTGGCGGAGTTGTTCACATTCTCAGAGCATGCCCCTACCTTCGCGAGCTAAACCTGTCCAACGTCCAGCTTGCCCCGGACTACAGTGTGCGCTGGACAAATACTTCAACCTACAGGCCTGTGGCTTTCACTGGACTTTTATTTGTTTCCGACGTACCCAAAAGCTTTACATGGAAGGAGGAGGACACAGAGCCTTTGCATGCTTCTGTCGACCTCGTCGAGGCAATCCTGAGCCTTAAGTGTTTGGAAAGGCTCGGAATTAAGGGAGGCCTTTGGGTCACAAGAGACGTTGCCAGACGCTTGGTTGAGGGACCTGAAAAGCTCGAGAAAGTTGACTTTCGTGAGTGCGGTATGCATAAGGATATTTGTTGGGCAGTTGAAGGTCGAAAGGATAAGGTCAGGGAAGCCATAGGTGGAGAATTGCAGGCGGAGCTTAGAAAGAGCCAGAGCACTGCGGGTCCGTGACCATGACTTATAACATTGGAGATTCGTTTGTTTTCTTTCAGTCGGGAACCCCGTCCTCCACTACCTCCCTTTACGGGATCTCCTTTAGTGTCTTGTTTAGACATAAGGGTTCTTTGCACCAGAGGGCCCGTCAGGAGTTCTCGGGTTTTTTCATCTTTATAATCTCTTTCTCAAACTTCCAACACATGCTGGGCGTATGGTCGATTTTTCTTCAAACACATTATGATGGCTTTAAAGTTTAATGAGCTCTTTAAGAAATTACTTGGTGAGATTTGAGTTTTGAAATCGAGTGACATAATGTGCAAATGAGGCGGCTCAACACGAACCCACAGACAACAAACTTGAAACCCACCTTGAGTTAACTTAGATAAGCCATATGAGTAGACTAAGCACAACATCTGTTCCCCCCCCACCATCCCTAGTTTCTCATCCGACACCCGTATGATACCTTAAGGTTCATCAAGCTTCCTCAGTTCGACTCAATCCCCCCTCTATCATTCCCACGACCTTCAAGCCACGGCTACTAAAAACTCCCTCACAACCTATTAGATAAGAAAGGACTGGAGAAAGAAAGGCCGGCAATCATGGCATCCCCTGAGGTTCTCTCCCAGCTAACCTCTATCGAAACCTCCTCGGTCTCACAGGGCGACAAATCCCACTCCTTCATCGCCCTCCTCCAGCCAATCCTCACAAACTCTCCAGCAACCAACTTGGAGGCGAACCTGAAAGCTTTCGTGGACACGATCCTCAGCGACAATGTAGGCATAGTTACCAGCCGTCCAGTCCTAACCGAATACCTCCAAACACTACCGTCCCTCGCCCCGGAGCTGCAAAAATCTCTCTACACATACACGCTGGACAAGATCTCACCGAAGATCGTCTCCTTCGAGCAAGCAGACTGCACCATCCGCCTGGCCCTCGCAACTCTGCACGAAGCCTCGGAGGACAATGCTCAGGCAGCGCGAGTGCTGGAGGGGATCCAGTTGGATCCACACCAGCGGCAAATCACGGACGAATTCAGACTGGAAGTGTATATCCGGATAATGCGTAACCTGCTGGAGGATGACGAGAGCATATCCGCCGACAGTTGGCTCAACCGTGCCACCCTCATCATACACAAGAGTACTGACGCCAGCCTCAACTTGAACTTCGCCATGTGCCAGGCTCGCATACTCGACGCCAAGCGACAGTTCTTGAACGCGTGCTCGAAGTACCATTTCCTCTCGTTCTCAAACCTTGTTGCAGAGGCAGATAAGTTGCAGTGCTTGAGCGCCGCCATGACCTGTGCGATTTTAGCACCTGCCGGGCCCTTGCGCAGTAGGAGTTTGGCAACGCTATACAAGGATGAGCGCGCCCCGCAGCTGCATAGCGACTATGCGCTCCTGGAGAAGATGTACCTCGATCGCTTACTCTCCGCCAAGGAGGTGGAGGAGTTCGCAGCGCGTTTGCGCCCTCATCAGAAAGCTTTGCAAAGCGATGGGACCACAGTACTTTCCAAGGCCGTTATTGAACATAATCTGCTCGCTGCCTCGAGGCTTTACAATAACATTGGCGTGGAGGAGCTTGGCGTGCTTCTCGGTCTATCTGGTGAGAAGGCGGAGGAGTACGCTGCAAGGATGATTGAGCAGAAGCGCATGAATGGCCAGATAGACCAGATCGATGGGTTGATTTACTTCGAAAGTGGCGGCAGTGGCGGGGTCGGAGGCGTGGTAGCTGGCAAACAGATTAGGAAGTGGGACGAGAACGTTGCCGCTCTGGCCTTGGAGGTGGAGAATATCACCAGTATGCTGCAGAATGAGTATCCGGTGGTTTACCTCTTTTCTTTGCCTCTCCTCTCCCTTCTCTAACCGGGAACAACGTCTAATACGATGAGCAGGACTTTGTCGCATCACACTTGGTGACTTAGATATTTGCTGCGCAGCTACACCTCCTCACTCTATTGTCGTCCCTACCCAGGAGTTCGGGATATTTTTAATATGCTTCACTCGGCATCACTCATATCACACTTGTTCTCCTCACCCCAAAGAAAGCCGGAGGGCCTGTCAATAAACTATTGCCATGCCACAAAAGTCCATAGCTTCATGTACCGCTTAGACTATCGTAACAATCAAAGTGGGGCGAGTGGAAATCCATGATATACGGTCTTTTTGATAAAGTAGGAAGGAAAAGGAAAAAAAAAGAAAAAAAAGTTGGAAAAAAAAAGCTGACCAACTAGAGACAAACAAAAATTACTTTGTAATCCCATCTTACACTGACGAAAAGCCCCAAGCCGTTTATAAGGTATTTGAATCAACAAGAACAGGAACCGTCCGTTTGCGTGTTATCGTTCCGGTCGATATCGACATTGATCACTATATAGTTGCACCCATTAGCTCCCATTCCCCACCAAATCCCGACGATAGAGAGATATACTCTCGGAATTAGGCTCGTTCAATGATCCCTCCATCCCTGGCAATGCCTGTGCGATTCTCTTGAATAACGTCTTGACATTATGCCCAGCCTTGGCGCTCGTCTCGATGAACATAACCTTGAACTCCTTGGCCCTTTTCTCGCCCTCCTCGGTAGTAACCTGTCGCTTATCGTTGAGATCTGTCTTGTTTCCCACAAGCACTATTATTACATCATTTCCACGTTCACCACGAACATCATCGACCCATTTGGTGGTGTTCTGGAAGGATGTGCGGTCTGCCCCCCCCATATTAGTCTCGAGAGCAGTAAGTATGGTCGGAGGAGGATAATACTGGTGATATCGTAGACCACTACCGCGACACTGGAGTCACGGATGTACGAGGGGATCAGAGAACGAAAACGTTCTTGACCAGCGGTATCCCAGAGCTGGAGGCGGACGGTCCGGTCTTCAAGGTACATCGTCTAGTGCACGGTCCATGTTAGCTGATCCGCACAAAGTGACCGATGAAGAGCGCAGCGATGATAGGATCCGGAGGGATTACCTTCGACAGAAAATCAATCCCAATGGTGGCCTGGTACATGTTATCGAAAGAGTCATACATGAACCTGGTTATCAGTGATGTTTTGCCAACTATATTGCACTCTCACGTGAGCAAATTAGTCCCTCTCCTCTCCTCTCCTCTCCTCGTCCCCCCCCCCTCGTCGCGATGCGGGAGTAAAATTACCGCTCTGTTCTCCCAGAAAAACCAACCTATTCGCGAGGACTCGAACATTAGCGAACTGCAAGGGCGAACGAAACCACTGACGGGGAAAAGCTACTTGAACTTCTTTAACGGATTCGAATACGAGCCCGCCGAAGCTGCCATCGTCGAGGTGAGGGGTGGGATGGGTGCGGGGTGTCGATTCCGTGTAGGCGGGAGTGTTGGGGGGGTAAGGTCGGTTGGGGGCTTGGAAGAGAGAGGAAGAGCTCGGGAGGTTGTTGAGAAAGGTGAAGTTGAAAGGTGTCGCTGGGTTATGCGCACTGCCACGTGCCACAGATGCACTAGCCACTAAACCTGGCTAATATCGGCAAGAGGGAGAATCCGGGGTAAGCGGTTGCTGAATAAATTTACCGGTGCAAACACCGTAGACCAGATGGAAATTGATCACTGCACGATAGGATTCAGAAATCGCTGTAAAGTTACTTTCATTTATACGGTGCACAGCATAGCATTGATGAGTTACCGATGTTACAGGAAGCTTCTTACGAAGCAGACAATCTCAACTTGTCACGGTCTTGTCAGCTCACGGGTATATAGCGTATATAGCCTCGATTGAGCATAATCCACCTGTGCACCCCCGTTCCTCAGAGACCCGAGTCTCCTAGATCACCGGCACATATTTACAGTACAGTACAGCACAGTACAGGAATCCGATCCGCCACAGCGGACGAAAATCCCTCCGCGAGCTGATCACTTTGTACCGGTATTTCGGTACGGGTGAATGCCCACCTCTTTGATATCTAGGTATTCTACTCGTGTGAATTGCGATAGTGACATATATCCATCGAGATTAGTGTCCACAGATGATACCCCCCCCCCTCCGAGCTCTCTACCATGGGCTTGCTTGCTTGCACTCTAGACGGAAAAAGTGGAATGTGCCCTGGGTCGCAAGTTACCAGCACGCCGAACCCTCCCCCCCCCCATATGCGGAGGGGACCGGGATGTCGAAGTTGAATAATACCGAGATTGGAATTCTGTAGATATAATAGCTACAAGCCCGGTCCAAAAAGTTTCTCACACGTGACATCCACTAGAAGAAGAGTGATAGTCCATGACTAGGCGGACACTGCTAACATATGGAATGAGGTACGATAGAATAACCAAGGCGAGTTCAAGGGCATGATAATAATAAGAAGAACGCGCTTAGAAACCGCACCCGTTCTCTGAAAATTTGGTAAATGCTGTCTTGCCCTACCAGACAAGGCTAAATCCCACCAGTGAAAGAGATCAAAAGCCATAGAACCCCCCTCACCCACGGCAAGTGGGCTTGTTCGCTCCCTAAAGGGGCCAGCCTACATAGAACTGCGGTAGATACCATTACCGGGCAGATGCGTGGATCCTACCGAGGCCCAATACCTCCGGAATGGGGGAAAGGCCAGTGGTCCGGTCGAGCACCCTACCGCTCGGAATATGGAAAAGCTATCGAGAGCCGTGCTATGTGTGAATGTCTCTTAGGAATTAAAGCTAGTGTAGTTCCCAAGAGTATATGAAACAGGATAAAAGTACTCTTTTCTCCTTCTTTTTTTTTTTGTTACTATATTCCCAATCTCCTTTCCGAACCAGCTATTTGACCGCACGACTCGGAGCTAGACCCCAGATCGTAATGCGCTTCATATAGGCCCGGAAGGGGGCGGAAGAGGAAAGTGGTGACAAGGGGGGAAGGAATCGGATAGGATTAGTTCATCTGGTACTGGCAGCTTGTGAAGAAGGGAACCAGATTTTTCGGGGAATGGTGGAAGACCTGCTATATTTGCAGCGAGGCGGTGGGCCATTTCTCTTTTTCTCTCCCTCCCTCCCGGCCTGCGGTCACTCGAATGGACATGCCTGTAGATATACACCTCGGAAAAACCAATCTTCAAAGCTTATCTCGGCGTTAGAACTCGAGCCATCACTCTTCTTGGCGATTTCTCCTACTACTACTATAAGGGTATGGGATGATATCTCATGATCCTAGAACTACAGATAAGTCCAAAAACCGGATATGGAGAGACAAGCATAGACACTGTTCATCAGTTCCACCCTATAGGAAATACCGGCACTGGGTGGGGGTGCTGCTCCCCTCCATAAAACAACTGTATTCAAACAAATGGCGGCGGTGTGGATCACTGACCCGTGCAAAAGAGTAGCAAACCAGTTCTACATGAACACCAAGACTTGCGGATCACGGCCTCTTCCCCACAGCACTGTTCGACCTAGCCCGCGAGCCGTAGGCGGACGAGCAGAGCGCCCTATTTCCACTGTGCGCAGGAGAAAGAACTTAGGGATATTCGTCCCAACACACTAAACTCAGAATCGCACTCAGGGATGGAACGGATACATATCGCAGAACTATATCATCTCACTCTCCTTTCCCCCGTCCCTACTCCTGTCTAGATCACTTACGGTATCATCCCAATTCACTCCCTGCGTGCTGTCATAGTAGTACCATAGTCCCGGATTTCGGACGAGGACAAAAGGTATTAAGCGTATATCGCACCGCCCAGTCATGGTATGATATACCGTGCTTTACGGTCTGCGATTTTTCCTCTCCCCCTTCCTCACCTCCCTTCTCGTCTTCTCCTTTCACGCAGTTGTACCATACCTGACTCTTAGTATGAATACAATAGCGAACCCCGGAACGAGGCGTACGTGTACTTGTACATCCCGCCATCGTAAATCACTCAGTCCCCACTAGTTCATCTATCATACACTGCCTTGCATATAATTTATACCCTTTTGTCCTTGTTCTTATTCTCATCCCAAGCGGGATAAGTCCCTTGAACACCGGTATGGCAGGTACGACATTGCACAGTACGCAGCCCTGCAACCCAAGATACACGTCCGCCCAACTGGAGGTGGGGGGGGGATGTATCATATGTGCTGCACTGTACGATATTATGATATCCCCAAGCCACGATACACGCACAGTCCAGCACCTCGACCGACCCGGAAACTTCAAAGGGGGACTGCCGGCACAATGCAAAATCTAGCATCGGGGTGTTTCAGCATGCTGCCGCTCTTGTGATGTCGTGCAGCGGTTGTATGATAAACATAGCGGAACCGGGGCCGTCGGGAATTACTCACTTCTTGTTCTTCTGCTTCTTCAGCATCGGTATCAAAAACCGGGTGGCAAATCACACGACACTCACAACCACCTCTCCAGCCCCGCACTGTACGGTACCCTATTTGGTAATTACTTATATCATACTCGTACACGCTTGTGACACAGCACTCATCGCGGTGCGCCGCATGTGCGGAGGGGGCCGGAGCTCCCGACGAAAGGGCGGAAGCAAGAACAGGAACTTGTAGCCTTAACTGAGTGTTCGGGAATGAGGTATATGATATCTCGGGCCTGACATGTATGATAGTGGTCTATCATGCTATTGGAACCTAACTTCCGCTCCCGACTGATTGGATAGGTTGATCGATGGGCAGCCTTAATTATTTCCGGACTAAACTTGCAAATCACCAAAAGTGTCAAAAGTGTCGGGGCCAAAAGGAAAATAGGAGGTAGAAAACATGGAAAAAGGTAGTCACTTGCTAGGATACATCAGGACACCACACTCACAGCCATGCCCGCACCTGACCAGGACCGCACAAGACCGATCGACAGTCACAAGTACTCAACTAGCATACCATACCTGGAAGTAAGCAAAAAGAAAGCCTGCAAATCATTGTCTCGTATCACGCAATCCCGTGATTTCAGGGGGCTAAAGTCCGGCGCCAAGAGGGGTCCATTCACTGCCCACAGCAATTCCTTTGGGCACACACCCCGCCAGGAACCACCCTCGTTCATTCGACAACACGTCCACCCGTCAGTGAATTCCTATCATACAAAGCTAATAGCTAGATAGCTAGCGGTTTACAGCAACGGAGTGTCTTTTCTTTCCTTTTCCTCCCTCCTTTTTTCCTTTCACGAGCGGCATGATAACTTTCTGCACATCAAAAAATTACAATGTCCGATGACCAAGTAGAGAATAGCGAGTTTCTTGTTCACGCTTCAGCACCCACGTCGAGGGTGGATGATGAGCGATATCGGGCGCAGGCATTGGCTTGCTTGAATTTCCGGCCAGCGAGGAGGTGGGTTTTAGACTGTGTTCTGATCGGAGGGGAGGGGAAGAGGGACGACGGGGGCTCACGGGGGAAGAGGGCCCGGTTGACGGGAGATGATAGGGATGAGGACGGCCCTGCACAGATCCCGGGGGCGCTTAAAACGCCCGTTGGGAGGGGAAGGGGGCCGGGGGCGGGAATAGAGACAGGAACGTCAATGGGTCTCGCTCAGTGTATTATCTTCCTCCGAGTTGGTCAAATAAATCATCATTGGGGTCTGAGTCTGATAGTTTGTGTCTGATAGCCGTACCGATAACGCCCAAAGAGGCTCCAAGAAGAGTTAATTTGCCGGTGATTGAGGCTGCTACTCCGGTGGTGATGTCTGCTCCCGCAGAGAAAGACAAGACTAGCTTTGAGTTGAGGGAGTCTTTCTTTTCGCCATATGTGCCTACCCCGCCGTCTACATCACTGCCGAAGCAGGAGGAACCAATGGAGGATGAGACTAGCTATGGTTCCTCATGTTTTGACTCTTGGGATTCAATTCCAAACACCATTCCCGATTCTCAGGAGCCAGTACCTCGGCCCTCACGTTCGCGGTTTTGGGAGGAGGGAGTAGATGCAATCCCGCAGCCCACTCTTGCTGAGGCAGACGTAACTTCAGATGAAAGCCTATCACCACCCTCATCTCCACCAGTCATTGAAGAACCAGAGATCGCCCCACAGACAATTGCACCCGCAATTGACCCCTCTCAGAAAGGAAAGGATCACGAGTCGTCCTCCTCTTCTGAGAAATGTATTTTCCCCGAATTATCCAGCGTCCCATTCACTTACAATCAAAAGACGCCCAGCACGGGTCGAACGTCACCGATACCACCGCCCGTGCCCGGCTCGCCGATTGCCTCGGACTTGACAACTAAATCCCTACCCTTGGAAGAGCCAGCTCCTGTCGTGCGATCCGAACAGCCACAATGGCCCATCCCAACACTCGTAGAAGGGCCTTACCACTTCTTCTCCCCAGTGCCCGAGACATCATCCAATCCCCCCACGGTATCAGAGAACTTGCGAAAAATCTGGAATGTCGGCCAAGTGCGTGCACACTACCAAAAGCAGAAACTCTCGCAGAGCAGGGAGTTACGTGAGCTAGAGAGGGGACATTGGAGGATGGACATGAGCGGATGGACAAAGCCGGATGATAAGATACATTTTTGGAACGCACTGAAGGACCACGTTACTTCCGGCCGCTTCGGCTGGGTCAACGTATTTCTGGACGAGGAGAAGACCGGAAACGTTATTGAGGTGTACTGCTTTGGGGGGAGTGCCGAACATGTGTGTTTTTCCTCCCCTTGCTTGCTCCTGTTCTTCTCCCCGGAGCGGTTGACGGATTGAGGGAATCCCGCTTTTCTGACCCTGTTTTTTTCTGCGCTTTGGTTCTCTTGTGTTTGTTTATAGGTTTGGGCAGCGCTGCATATATTGAGCGATCGAAAGACGGCGGGAATCGCTTGGCTAGATGCAACCGATAAGGAAGTGCTCAAGTTCTGAGTCGAAATGCCGTCACTTCCCCCCCCCCTCCCTCCTCCCTCTCACACAAGCGACACCATTGAAGCATTCCATGGATTGGCACGGACGCCATCTCTCACAAGCCATTCTGCGCTCGAGATTCGAGGAATGAAAGCGAGTGAGGGAAACAAGGAAGAAGAAGCGGCCGTGATCGTGATATCGCACGATATGATAGGACACGATAGGATACCCCGCAAACTCACGCTATCGCCAAAGTACGAGTAATCGCCCCTCCCCCCATTCCCTCCAGCAAGACTGATGATTCGGTCCGGATACATGTCCAATAGCTGACCTATTCGGGGTTTATAAAAGATTACCCAGAATGGAGGGGGCTTGATTTTCTCTCTTTTTTCCTCCTCTCCCTTACCCTGCCAACACAAACACACAGCAAACCCATACACAAGAACACATGTTTGCGCAGACAGGGTTTCTCTACTGGGCTTGCCTGCATGTAAAGTGTGCTTCACGGCACGATACCGTAGTATAGGTCGACCGTCTCGTGCTCATTATTCCTTTTTCCTTCATCCCTCCTCCTCTATCGCCTCGCAAGATCCCTGTAGCGTCCTGTACCGTGCTGTGCCATACAATACCACACATTTACCCACAACACCAGTAAGACCATTGGGTTTGCGCATGCACACAGACATATCATACCTACTCGCACCATTCCGTGCATACCCGCGACAGGAATCCCCCCCCCACTTCCATAGCACGAGCACAACCAAGCCCAACCACAATCCACAACCCACCTCCCTCCCCCTCTTCCCCATCCTATCCAAGGCAGGCATGCAGCCCCAAACACCGCATCCACTTCACACACAATCACTCGAAACACACATTACACCACCCACCTGAGAAACAAAAGTACCGGTAGCCGGACCCCGCAGCAACCCTGTGGAAACCGGACTCATGCCATACCCAGGCCGCAAGCAGTCACCACCAGCGCAGTATACCTCGCCCACAAGCAAGTACTGCACCGTAATCCCCACCACAAAACATATCACCGCACCACACGGTATGTATGATACCGAGCATCACAGTATGGTACAGTACCCATCAAAGCAACAAACAAAACAGAAAAACAAACTACACGATGCGAGTGATGGTCCGTGAATTCAACCCTCTCGAGACCGGCCGGGGCATGGCTGGCACAGCTGGCCGACCATCTCCTCACCCACAAAACAAAACAAACAAACAGCAACGTGTACTGTAAGTCAGGCGTGCATTCCCACGACATGATAGGCCTAAACCATCATCACAACTGCACTCCCGCATCGTATCGTATCGTATCGTATCGTACGTTGCGGAAATCCTCCGCCACCACCACACTACGGTACTGTACTCGACCACTTACTGTGCTGTACTAATACCGTACCGTACACCCCGTAAATGGCATGTGCGCACGGTGTTGCCCGGTGCGTTATATTTGGTGGGGCTTGAGCCACCATTTGCTAGTACAGTACAGTGCAGTACAGGATCGTGCCGCGCAGTTATATACCATACGGTACCGTCCTCGCGAATCCTACACAGTCTTTACACTATACGTGCAAGTACAGTTATAGCCCCGCTATAACGTCGGGAACATCTCCGTATCATACCTTCCCTTTCAGAAACAATCTACTACTGTACAGTGCTCGCGGGCTACGCGTTCTACCGTACTGTAGCCCGCCACCATACCCGTCCCGGCTGACGGGACGAAAGTGAGGGGAAAGCCATCATCATAACACCTTCCCCGTTTCGTTTCGTTTCATCCCGTCCCGTCTCGTACCGCTCCTTCTTTAAGCGTGCTAGCTTAGCCATCGCTGCGCCAAACAGATCGCTTGCGTGGGTGGGTGAGCTTTGGCATCCCTGCCCCCCTCGCGAGACAATTGGTTCCTCACGGGTACTCACTCGTCGCTCTGTATTTCGCTCATGTCGTATCGTATGCCACCACCACCAATTACTCTAACCAGTGCAAGGTTTTCTACAAATTTAGAAAAATCAGGATAAGTTAGCTCTCAAGCCTTATTTCGGGGGGGTTTTTTTTGTGTCCTGTTTTTGTTTTTGGTTCTTTGCTCGGGAGAACTTGCTGGATGGATGGCTGGATGGCCGCGCCACTGTAATAAATGAATAAATAAAAACTACGAGTATCATACTCTAATACTTTCCCCACGGGGGGGTGGGGGGGGAATCAATCATCAAGTTTGGGGATGAAATGAATGAAACGAACATCTTCGTACACATCAGCGTTCGCGTCCCGGAAATCTGGGGTTGGTTGGCTTTGAGGGGGGGGAGGAGGCTCGGGAGGGCGCATTTCATTTCTGGGCGCGGGTTCTTGATTCGTGGGGTTTGGATTGGCAAACACGTATGCGCTGGCTTGGTGGTGGTGTGGGCGTGTGCGTGGGTGTGGGTGGGTGGCTGGGGGAGTGGTTTGGTTGGTTGATTGAGTTGCGTGGGAAGTGATTTGGTGGAGTTTTGAGAGAAGAGAGGGAGAGGGGGGGAGTTGCTGACCGGGGATTTTGTGCTGGGTGGGCTGGGGGGGAGGGGGGAGGAGATTGGGGGGGGGGGGGATGGGAGTGGTAGTAGTGCAGTAACAGTCACGGTACGGGGGAATAGAGAGCTCTCAAGGGGGAGGGACGATTTGCGAATTTGGTGATCAGAGTGTCATACGAGGTGTTTTTGTCGGCGGTGGTGGTGGTGTCGCTGCCTAGATTTCTCGTGGGTACGAAGTACTGTACATAGCTTAGCTAGCAAAGCTAGGTGAGAAAGAGCTACACAGCCCTCGTGAGCAAGCAGGCAAAAGATAGCTCAATCGTTTATTGATTCACTCATCCCCCCAAGGGATTATTAGCCTTTGTCCTAACTATCCACAATATCAACTTCCGGCACCACGCCTGCCATACTCGCACTCCCCTACCTCCCCCCCCCCCCATCGTCAAACATATCCCGAAAAGGACCGCCATGATACTCGCACCATACCCGTATCTATCGGTAATGATACCCCCCTCCTCCTCATCCAACAGCAAAAGCGCTCCCCTCCTGTCACCTGCCCACCACCATATTAGCCTTATCACCCCGTATACCTGAAAAAAGAAAGGAAAAGGGTCAAGATCCTCCTCTTCCCAAAGCAATTTTTGGGTCCGGCGGCGCCCGTAAAAAGCCCAAAACACCCGCCTTGAAGCACTCTGTGCTCGGCTGATTGATTAATAGATGCTATGACGATTTTTGACCTGATATCTCTCTCCTTTTCCTTTTTTCCTTCCCTCTCTCCTCCTGTACGTTATGTGAATCGAGCCTATCGTGCCCACCCTTTCCATGCCTCCCCGCCAGCAAGATTGCACTCATTTTTTGGAACCCAATCCCGGAAAGCATAAATTTAGTTAAGGCCTTCACGGGTTTCCGGCTGGTCGTGGAGGTCGTGGCCAGGCCAGGCAGTTCCCCCGTCGCCGGGTCAGTGCTCCCGCTAAATTTCCCACCAAACGGTCGGAAATGCACCTGTAATGCAGAGCCTATCTATCTAGCGAATTTCCCCAATGCGAACCCATCCCCGGGCCACTCGAAGGCTTCCTTCGTAGCCTATCAACCCACCGGGTGACATCTCATGATCGGCTTATATAATACCACCCGGGACAAAAATACCTCCTGACCAACCAACCAATCTGATGTCTGCCAGAACAAGCTTTTTTTGGGTGTTTTATCTTATTTTATTTTTCCCCAATAATGGCCGTTCAGGAACACCCGTGGGATGAACCGCCTTGCATAAAACAAAAAATAAATATTATTCCTCTTCACACCCCCCCACAAATCCCATCTGTTGAAATACCCAGCGGGGTGGTCAGCAAATCATATCCATTTCCACCAATTGAGAAGGAAAGAAAGCCCCGCATATCGGGATATCTTCGCGACAGTTGCATGAGTTGGTACGAGTTTAAAAAAATGTAGGATGACATCCATCCAATGATTCGCGGATTGAAGGTTCCCACAATAATTAATGTTAGTATGGGAGGGCAAACAAGACAAGAAGCAAAAAAAAAGTGGCGTTCGGAAGAAAAAAAAACCCTCCCCGTTATGATACTAAAAACCCATCCAGTTGCCCTCTTTTTTGTTTTTATTTTACTACTATAACTCTTTCGGTCGACCTGGATTTTTACCTTTGGTCCCTGACCTTTTGCTTCCGCGCTTCCGCTAATGGCCGGCTGTTCGTGGCCGGTATCAAAGCTGTACCGGTACTTTGAGGACGGTACGGTACGGTGCGGTACGGTGCGGTACGGATAGTAACTTTTTTGATTCCCAGGAAAAATATTCAATGGATAATATTTTCCTTCCCCCACGAGCGCCGTATTCGTTGCGGAAGGGTTGGAAGAAATTTTCTGAAAATAAAATAAATAAAAGGCTTGGGAGGTTAGCCGAGTACCGGTATGCGAGTTTATTTCAACGAAGGCAGGCCAGGAATTGGAAATTAAAAAATACAAAACCGGAAGAGAAGCAGGCTGCAACCCTACCGGACCCGTACCGTAGTGCAGCCGCGATCTGGTCGCCTAAGAGATCTGGCAGGGCGATCCAATATTTCGGCAAGTCTCTCTCTCTTCTTTTTTTTTTTTTTGCAAGGCCAGGGGAGCCTGTTAGTTTCCATACGGTCTATCTCAGTCCAATGTCTGTCTCTTTTTTGAGCGGGGGGAGAGACCTTTCGAAATGGACTGAGGCTTCTGAAAGCAGCATGTGGTACAAAGACCGTAATTTTTACGAGCCAGAGGAATGCGCCTCAAATGAAACGCTTTGTTTTCTATTCCGTTTCTCTCCCTCCCCCCCCGTTGGTTCAAGGCGCAGAATATTCCCCGAACCGATTGCCCCGGTACGGTATGGCGCTCGCACGGTCTCGGAAATGAGCAGACTACCGGCCGTGATGAGAAAAAAACATGGACATTACCAAAGGAAATGACGGGTGCAAACGGCAGGTAACGTGATCGCTTCCCAATCGGGGGAAGAAAAAGAGAAGCAAATACGAGGGTGGAGTTGAAATTTCAGTTGTCATGCACTGCCACGAAATGTTGGATAGGTCTAGATTCGGATCCACGGAGCATGATGGTCTATATTAGAGGGTTAGAAAAAGGATCAAACCAGGCTCCAAACATCAAGCGTAGAAAAATATCAAGGAAGTTGGGATGTTGGAATATGCCCACCGGAACTCTGTAATACCGTAGAGCGATGGGAGAAGCAGAGGAGAACAAGAAACGTCGGACCACACCCAACACGTCGGTGATCAAGCATTGAGGGGGGGCGTTTCTCCACGGAATCCATTGTGGTATCGTGAAGAGGATAAACGCCCTCGCTGCAAATATGAGAACTGGCCGGTTATCCAATCCATCCATGACAAAATTGTTTTCAAAAAAATAAAAAAAAACCAACAAAAAACATCCATCATCTGCATCGAACAACCTGGTTTCCATTCATTCATTCCCCTTGCAACATAACCCCCTAACCCTCCTCGCGCGGTAGCAGCAGACCTGATCAGTTTTCGGAACTCTCAGACACCCGCGGCAGCAGGAACAACTGAAAGGGCATGGCCAGAACAGAGAGGGAGATTGATCACGTTTCCCCTTTCCCATTTACCTAATCCGTAAAGGGAAATGCCAAAAAAGGGTCCAACCGACCACGACACGGAAAGCGAGCGAGCAAGCGAAACTTGAACATCGAATGAAGCTCCGTCCGTGCGCAAATGGAGCAAAGAAACATAAAGTTGGCGTGCAGATCGGCTATCGAATGTTGTGCATGAGAATTGGCAAAATAAAGCCATCGAATCTCCATTCCGGCTGGGCAGGGCGTCTCTCCGTATCAGGGATTTTCCCTTTTGGAAAATTGTTTTTCCCCACCATCATCCCCTCCCGCCGTGGTTCGCTCTACCGGTACTTGTATTACCATGGACAATTAAAATGAAAATACTTGTACCATATAAAAAAAAAAAAGCCAGTGAGTGGGGTTTCAGCCAGGGGTATGTGGAGGGGAGGTTGTCGCAGCACGTGGGCTGAGAACTGCGATACGCCTTCGAAAGAGTCCGCCCGCCGTCCGCGCGCTTCGTGGAGAGCGCTCTCAGCCTTGTTTCTCCGAAGCCCTCCGCTGTGTCGTGGGTCCCGCTTCTGTGGTGGGAGGTTTTTCCCTTTTCTCCCCTTCAAACCTTCTTTTGAAACAATTGGATACTGCACTCGAACCCTCTCCCATTCCTCCTGGCAGGCGGCGTTAATTTGGCACGAGTCGCAATTTATTGGAATAATTCCTACTCGAGTATTCTTTCTTGCCGACTTTCCCTCTTTCATCCTTCTCCCCTATTGTACCCTAGCTGAAAAATGGAGAATAGAGAGCCAAGAATAACGTGATAGGCAGTTTGTGCTCTGCACTTATTTCGTCAGCAAAAAAGCTCCTGTGCTCCATTTCCGCAACGGTCGACGGTAAGCGAAATCATCACCGAGGAAGTCGCGCTAAGCTAAAACGGAAACTTTTCCATTCCCATATCCTACAAAAAATATTTGTTGGATGAATGGGAAGAAATAGTGTGGAGAGAGGAAGGCCTGATTACTTCCAATAATTAACTCGCCGCATCCTCGCGCTCTGTTGGCCCCATCCCTCATCACATTGATATGATGGCAACGACAGGGATTCTCCAAGAGTCGGACCTCCGATGCGCGAAATGAAGATCTGTTGAGATGAGATGAGATGAGCTTCGAAACACTCGTACAACGGCGGTTGAGAAGGAGAGATGCGATGTGTGATGGGTGGGTGGATGGATGGGGAAGAAGAAAAGAAAAATGAGAGAATCCTGCGTTCGCCCCCATTCACTCCACTCTTTCTTTACTATTGTACCGGTATGATGACTCGTGCTCAATCGTTTTCTTTTTTTCGTATCGTAGGAAGACCACCCAGCTAGCAGAGTTCGAGTCCTCGTGAGCAGATCAGTTTCGTTTCATCGAGATGATGCCACCCGAGAAGAAGCAAGGGAGAGGGCCAGAATGATGATAATAACAATGATGGGTCAATAATCATAACCATAATCACAATCATGATAATATAATAATAAAAATAATAAAATTGCCCTCCTTCGAATAGAGAGTGTGATAATAAGAGTGGAAACAATCGTTATTTTCGTCTGTGCTTCGGCGTATATCAGTTTCTGAGAGAAACGTCGAAGAACACCCTAACCCTACTCTCGGTAATGGGATTGCTGTCTCTTCTGTCTTCCTTTTTTTCTTCTCCCTCCTTCCCCAAACATTTCGGTAATACAGTGAGTTGGCTCCGCAACAAAACATCCGTCTGTTCCCTTTGAGCAAAATGCCGTGCCATCTTGCCAGGACCCAAAAAACACCGGTGGGGTGTGGAAACTGAGGAAAACGGGAAACGGGAAACGGGGGGGAGGGGGAAATGAACGAATGAACGAATAAAAAGAAAGGAGAAAAAGGAAAAAAAACAATGAATCCATCGGCGAGATCCTGGGTACAGCGGCTCCTCTTTTTTTATTTTATTTATTTGTTTTTTGTTTTCAATCGTTGTTTTCTCGTGGTGCAGCGTGACGAGGCGCGGAGAAAATTGAGAGGGGAAGCTTTTATTTAATATTATATCGATTGTATCGGGATTTCTAACTGCTGTTCATTCCACAAGGCGAGGCTTATTCGCTGTCCGCCAGCGAATGCATATCCATACCTTCTGGAACAAAACATACCTGCATTGCCCAGAGAGTGCTCGAGTAAAACAACCGAATTAAACAGAAATAGACTTATCGACTGCCCATGGGATGAAAGCCACCTTGCAGGGGAGGAGAGGGAAAAGAAAAAAAGAGGTGATGACGGGTGATGCAGAATGGCAGTATGGGAGCATTGAAGTGTCTGCTACCGTCACGTTCCTTTACGGCAGTGATCGATGATAAGAAGAGTACTCGAGTAGGGTAATGCTCGAGGAAAATTTTTCCTTTCGCTACAAGGGACCAGTGCTGCATAGTCTACTGGTATTATTGCCATCATCGCTGATGCGTTGATGGGGGCTGCAATTCTATCATACTTGATGCGCGTGCCCTTGTGGAACATATTTTGACCGAGACGAGGGGGGCCAATCGGATTGGCCCACGAAGCAATTCGTGCCCAGCCACCCCATGTCGTAGTTGCTTAGTAACAATTTCGGAACACATCACGGGTATCACAAGTTCGAGAGAGACTCTCTTTCCTTTTTTCCTTTTTCTTTTCCTTTTTTTTTCTTTCGTTTTCTTCCTTCAAGTGAGTTGCGATTGAGGAACAGAGTGCGAGTGCCGGTACCGTCCGCCCTGGTATTGTTGTACCGGTAGGCGTGCGGAAGAGGGGTTCGTCACAGGCCGGACGCGGGGACGAAGAAAACAACTACAAACAAATGAAACAGATGAGGAGGAGAAGGATAAATATAGTCTCGGCATGGAGACAACAAGAGTGACTGTAACTAACTGACTGAGCGATGGACGGATACCCGTACCGGTACGGAGTGTATGGAGAAAGAGCGTCCCTATCGTACACTCGTGTGGACAACTGCGCGTGCCGTACGGTACCTTGTGTGTTATGTGCGATGTGATAACCCAAAGCTAGGAGACAACCGCGTCGGACCGGAGGCAGTGAATCGGAGGTGCTCTCAAAAAGTTCTGCGGAACTTTGCTTATGATACCTCTCCTTCCTTTCCGCGTCCGATCTTGATTGTGCCTGCCTACCTGCCCGCTTCCCGCTTGCCAACAAGTCAATTCTCGCCAATCATCCCGCCAACTCATCCGTCTGCCAAATTTATTCATTTATTACCAGCCTCACATATAATAGGGAAGGAAAAGAAAAATGATTACCCAAGACAAAGATTAAATGTTTCCCTCCCGGTCACGGCACGACAGCGATCATAAAGCGCTGCCCATCATCAATCAACCCCCCCCCCAATTCCTGAGAATCCCAGCGGGTCATTCGGGCCAATCAAATCGCCGATCGACCCACCTGGGATCCCCGGCCTACTCGGGTAGAGGGAGAAATTGGGAGCTGGAAGGGCAGAAGGGGAACATCCCTCCCCATATCGCCTCTGTCAAGTTCCGGTTCTTGCTCTAGCCGCCTTCTTATTCGATTTGTTTGATTGCCCTGTTCTGCGTCCGGCCCGTAGGGCTGGGAAGCGGTGTGGTGCTGCTGTACTCGTAGGGGAATGCCGCCGAGCTTTCACTGGCTAATAGCGGAACAGCTGACTTTCACGCTACCGAATCGCGTACTTTTTTAACTCTTTTTCGGCCTGACGGTCGGGGGTGGCTTCCCAAGTTTATTTGGGGACTTTAACGGAAACCACATCTCACTGCATAATTAGTGCGGGCACAGTACGGGCACCGTCCAGCTCTGGTGAAAAAAGTTACTTTTTTAAGCGTCTTCTATTTATCTGTCGCCACCTCTTATTTTCTCCCTTTTCGGGGTTGAGTTCCAAAAAAAATTTAGGCCAGGCCATGGCTGGGTTGGGACATCACCGCACTAGTCTGGGCTAAGAGAAGCGATTTCCTGTGCCTGGTCGAGTGGTGCTGTGTACTAGTGCTGTACCAGTATTTGTACTCGTACAGTACCAGCACTCAGTATCATGCTGTGGGAGTACCGACACTGGCACTGTGCGGTACCCTTGGGCTGGGTGCGAGCCTCGGCGGTCGTGAGGGAGAATTTGGCACAGCCCTTCCGTCATCGAGCAGGAAGGTAGGCGAACAAAAGCAGAGCTATACATAGGCTAGACCCATGCCGGTCGACCAGCGAAGGCGGAAGCGGTTCTCACACCTACCTACCTGTACTGTACTCGTATGTGCTGTACAAGCATGGTACAGTACTCGTAAGTGGATACCGTTTAATAGCGTAGGTACTACCGTAGCACTGTGCTCTACTGCATATTGTACCAGGGACAAATCCATTTCGGGGGTGGCCCGTAAAAGTAGGTCGTATGCCGGAGGGCAGTGTTATGGGTGCCTGGGGTTATGGTGGGCTGGCGACGAGTGCAACCGCGGGCGTGGGTGACAGCCAAAAAGGAGAGGAAAAAGAAAGGAAGGATCAAAGGGAAAAAATTGAGAAGGAACGAAATGAGGGAGAAGAGACTGAGAGAGTGTGACAGGGACAGGAATGGGTATCATACTATGATACCGGTAAGGGAGAGAGAGAGGGCGCGACAAGAGGGCCTTTCACTCCAAGATATTGAGATTCGGAAAAGCAGGAAAAAAATGGGGGGAAACTTATCGCCTTTCCCCTCTGAGGGCGAGGCTCCAGCACAACCGAGGGAATACTCGAGTAGAGCAAGTAAGCGGGATCGGCGGACTGCTTAAGACGCGTTGGCGTGTGGTTCCTACTCCTTACGATACTTGTGCCTGCTACCGGTATTCAGTGACCATCATCCGCTGCGGTACCCTACACCACATTTGCCAACGCATCCCCCCAATCACCCTTCTGCATGCCCTCCGCCGCAGGGAACCTTAGGGTTGCTAATCGTCGTCGGGTCCAAGCAAGCCCTGGGTCGTGCCTAATTACCGGTACTTCCATCGTCATATCATAGCCAGCTTTTGCCAAATAACCGCCCGCCTGGACTGGAAAGGGGCCAGAGAGGGAAGAGAGAGAGAGAGAGAGAGAGAGAGAGAGAGAGAGAGAAGAGAGAGAGAGCGAG